GAATCAGGTTAGGGCTTCACCCAAAACTATTGGCTAAAATCTTAAATGGGTGTTCAGAACGGTGTTGAGCAAGAGATCCTTACGATCCTGTACCTGGGGTGACGACTGGAATTCCCTTGGCCAATAACTATCAGGGTGGACTCCCAACAACACTCACAGCATAAGAATCTGGGATTCGCAAGACTGACATCACCTCAAAGAACCCATTCCTCCTGGGCTGTCAAGCCCATCAGATCTACGGGATGATGTGTGCAAAGGGCTACTCAAAGAAAGACTTCTTGTTCCAGTTTCTATGAGAGGAGGAGCTCTTCCGAGTTTGCACTTTGGCCATGGACACTGTTGAAAACCAAGCTCTATTTTGAGGCTCCTTATAGCTCACTCCACAGTAAATGAGTTTAACCAAAAGTCACCTGTCTGCTTTTAATTGTCTGGGTCACAGTACACCCTAGGATTTTTTCACTCATTTTTAACTGCTTATTCTTTTTATTTTTTTTTAGCAAACATAAATTATGTGAATTTTTTTCTGCAAGCCACTGATGGCCTCTGCAAAGTAGCTGATAGACCTTTTTCAAAAATTTGATCCTTGATCATCTTCAACTAAATCATTACATACTTCAACCAGGAATATTATTTACTTCACTTTACAAAATAAAACCAAATATTTTTCAACAGGATGAAACCGAGCTTAAAGAAAAAAAAAAAAGAGAGAAAAAATAAATTGATGTGAGGAAAGGAGTTAAGGGGGAAGTCCTGTGTCCCTCAGGAAGTTTGTCCTGTTAACCAAGTGGTGGTACTTTCACATTACTGAGGTTACTTAATGATTTTCCAGGGAAAATTGATAAAGCAAGAGAACTCCCTGCTGCATGTTTTATAGTTTTGATTCCGTTACAGTATCTTGTGTGTCCATCTTGTAACAATACTCAGTACTAAGCAAAACTTGTGTTTCATATTTTTGCTTCTTTATACATTCTTAGTACATATTTTTTGTTTGTTTGTTTTTAGCTGAGCCATCCTGCCACCTGTTGACAGCTCAGCGGCAGCTCAGCTTGGGCTGGGACTCGAACCGCTGTTGCTCAGAGCTCGCATTCTTGAGCGAGCTCTTAACCAACTGAGCCACTCGGCCGGCCCTTTAGTACATATTTTTTACTTGAAAAGAATGACACCTTTAGACCTGTTTCAGAGCCAATGATGATATTTGCTTTAGAGAATTATTATAGTATTCTAAATAGAAACATATTATTTTGAATTCAAATAAATTTCTATGATGAAAACAATAAAGTGAAAAGACAACACAGAATGGGGAAAAAATACTTTCAAATCATATAAGGAAGGGACTGGTACCCTGAATATACAGAGAACTCTTACATTTCGATAATGAAAAGACAAATAACCCAATTAAAAACTGGGCAAAGATTGTGAATAGACATTTCTTCTTAGAAGATATACAAATAGAGAATGAGCACATGGAAAGATGTTCAACATCATTACTTATGAGGGAGATGCAAATCAAAACCATAATAAGGAAGAAAGAAAGGAGCTCAACCAGGACCTGTGGGGGGTTTCATGCACCTGATACAGGCAGTGATGGTGGGCTGGCAAAAGGAAGCTGAAGAGGTTAGTAGCAAACAAGTCACAAAGAGTCCTACAGGCCACACTAAGAAGTCTGGACAGTCTCCTAAAGATAATGGAGAGAAATAAAAAATTTGAAGTAGGGAAGAAACACATTAGATTCAATATTTAGAAACACTACCACAGCTACAGTGGGCATGCCTGGATGCAGAAAGAGGGGTAAGGAAACGTGAAACTGGGGCAGTGGGTGACAGCAGAGAATTCCAAAGGACAACCTTTTCCTGAAGTCCCCAAAACTATACCTATTTTATAAACACAGTCACGGTTCTCAAATAACCTATACTTAAGGTGGGACAATGAAATGCTTACATAAATTATTATAATGCCAGATTAAGTCTGGTAAGTTTCAGAGAAGCTTCCAAGTACCAATGAAGTCCAACTTGAAATTCACTGAGTTGGGGACTAGTGGTGTCCGCATGGCCGCATTCAGAACAGGGAAAGCCCCAAGTTACAAAACCAGCCCCAGCTTTCCAGCTTGGTACTGCCAAATTGCAGAGACCCACAGAATCTCAGGGCTAGAAAGGATCTGAAAGGCCCCAGAGCCACCCACACAACTCCCAAAATCGTTACCCTGGCTTTGCTTGGGCTCTAAAGATGTGGGCTGGCTGAGTGGCTCGGCTGGTTAAGAACTCGCTTGGGAGCGCAAGCTCTGAGCAGCAGGGCTGCGGTTCGGATCCCACATTGAAGGCCAGTGATGCTCGCCCTCTACAGCTAAGATGATGGACAACAGCTCGACCTGGAGCTGGGCTGCTGTGTTGCCGGCGACGGCATAGGCTACAGTGAGGCTACAGTGGGGCTGCAGTGAGCTGCCGGGAGCTACGTGAGTGGCTGGTGAGTGGCTGGCAGCCGGTGTGAGCTGCCGGGAGCCGCTTTGAGCAGCCGACCAATGATCGGCGACCGATTGCCTCACCTGGGAAGAGCACAATGATCATACCAACATGGGCCAGTGAAGCAACGTCCTCAACAAGACTGAAGAACAAAAACAGCAACTTGTCTACCTGTCTGTTCCCCTTCCCAAATTCCCCAACGCTGTTCCCCTCCCCGCAATTCCCCAATAAAATCTTAAAAAAAAAAAAAAGACTCTAAAGATGTGCCAGATAGGTGGCCCATATATCCCATCTTTGGATGCCTTGGCCGTCAAACCCTTCTCCTTTCAGCTTGGCTGCCATCCCCTGGTCCACACCTCTGCCATTAAGGCCACCTGGGCAGGGCGCCCCTTAAGCTGGGCCTCTGGCTTATTGGCAGTAGCTGCCATATGCCCTGCACCAGGTCTTCTCTCCTTCAGGCTACACAGATGTGCCCATCCCTTCAAAGGGTCCTTAGGGACATGGTCTTGAGTCTCTTCTCTGGTCATTCTCGAAGTCGCTATGATTCCTTGGGGGGAACTTTACAGAGTATTGTTCAGAGCACTTGTCTGAACACTATAGGGACAAGCTGACCATCCCCAGTCTGTTAATGCAGCTGAAGGAATATGGTCGTAGGCAGCCCCAGCACAAGCTCACGCACATGGCGCTGACTGGGCACTAAAAACTGCTAAGTTGACTTCACACAGAGTACACTAAACCACATCTTCCCTATCTTGTACTTGTAAAATGGTGTGCTACACCCTGCACAGAGAGCTCCTATTTCTCCATTAACCCTGACTCAAGAGAAATGATCTTTGCAGGTGCAAAGATCTTTACAGTGTGCAAGAGGGTGCACAGAGGATGTGGGGAGTGTAGCAGATAAACCAAGGAAAGAGTCAACAGATATCAGTAAGTCCTATCAAGTCTCATTCTTTTCAGCCTTTCCCAGGAGACAAATAAGAGACAAGATGTCTAAAAACTTTATCCAAGAGAGCTGTGAATGGCCTTGGAGTTGAAAGGGGTCTAGGGATGTCCGCAAAGCCAGCCAGATCAGGAGGAGAGGGAAAGCCGGAGCAGAGGCTACAGCAAAGCAGCTGTGCTGATGATATGAAATGAGTCAGCAAACATGAGGGCAGGCACAGCAAGCGCAGGAAGGCTCTGTGATCAGCAACACCCGAGACAATGAGACAACGGGTCTGCAGAGGCCCAGCTGTGCATTTAACCACACTCTTCATTTTTCATCTACTTGTTTATACCCGTCTTGAGACACTTAGGACAGACAGATTAAATCAGAAACAGGAGAATAAAAATCAGGGTTAGAAAAGGAGCTTTGTGTATATTATCTTATTCAACTTTGATGACTGACAACCCTACTACATAGATGCTGCCTGTTATCTCTATTTCACAGCTAAGAACGCTGGGTCTCAAAACAATTCAGTAACTTGCCCAAGGTCTCATTGTTACTAAGTGGCATTTACATTTGAATCTAGGTCAGAAACTTAAGCTCTCTCTGCTCTATATCACACTTCCGACCTTTCCCGGCTTTTTTTCCTGTGGACACTCCCTACCCAGGAAGAGAGCAGAGTCATCAGAGGCTTGGACTCTGAAACCACACTGCTGGGTCCAAGCCCTGACTCCACCACTTACTAGCTAAGGTAACCTTGAACAGGTGACTTAATCTCCCTGCCCCTCCATCTCCTCAGCTGTGAGCTGAGAATAATAATAGTACCAACATCCCCAGGACTGTTCTGAGGGTTAAATGACCTTATATTACTACAGCACTTTCAGAACAGTTACATAGTACACACTAAACTAGATTAACTAGATTAGTTAATCTGATTAACTAGATTAGTTAATCTAGTTTAGATTGAATTTGGGCAAGGAGCTTACCTCCCAGGCCACCATCTCTAAAATGGACAGAATACGAGGGTTTCTCCCAGTCACGATGATAATTAAATGAGGTAATACGAGTAAAGCATGTACGTATATATGTTTGGTTATCATTGTTACCAGGCTACCTTACTTAAAATTGTCTCTTCTTTCATCCAGGGCTGAACCTTATTGGATAATTTAACCACTCAATCAGTGAAATTAGCCTTTAATATGTCAATTGGTTTAGAAAACTAAATATAAATTGAAGGAAAAAATCTTGAAATACAATGTGAAATTATTACAAAGAAAAATGAAACACAGGGATGACAGGTGATACTAAAAGAAATTCTTCTCGTCTGTTTTAAGCAGTATCATGGCATTTTAACGATACCTGACAGGTGTCCTAGAGTGTATTGAATGGTACTCACCCCCTTCTCCATGACTTCAGTAATGGGGAAGGATACTGTGGGTTAGGTGGGTTATCTCTGATTCTGGTTTTGGAGTGCTAAGACTAAACGATTTCCCCTCTGTTTATAACCCATGAACATTTATTTATAATACTTCCGAGATAATATGACTGTTTAGGCGTATGCCTAAATATTTTATTTTAAATGGAAATGTTTTCATTTAAACCACACCAGTGGAATATCTAACCTTTACGCGGTCAGGGTCCACATAATGCACTTTTTTCATATCACATTCTTCAGTAGTATAGTTTAACTTGAGGATATAAAGGATCCATACTCCAAACACAAGCAATATACACCTAGAAAAAAAATTAGGTATAATGATGCAGTCATGTGATAATCAAGAGCAGTCATGTGAAATAAGTGAAAAATTAACCCAAATTGAGTTTGCCTGCCATGCAGCATAAACGTACAGTCTTTAAGTTGACCTTAGTGGTCAACTTAAGGCATTACTTTTTATTTCCTGACAAGACAAATTAGTCATTTATGACTGTCTTTGTTACAAGCAAATATAGAAAACCTTTTTTTTCCACACAGGCACCACAATAAAATCTGAATCAAAATGCAGATTAACTGGACTTAAGAAAATCAAGTAATAGATTTTGAACTACAGAATCTCAGCTTCAATTTTTTGCCACTTTAAAATACTGTCAACCCTTCAAATGCTGTATGATTCCACTCTATGAAGTACATAGTAAAGTCAAAATCACAGAGATAGAAGTAGAATGGTGGTTGCCAGGGACCAGAAGAAGGGGTGGGGAATTAATGTTTAATGGGTACAGTTTCACTTTTACAAGATGAAAAGAGTTCTGGAGATGGACGGTTGATGGTTGCACAACAATGTGAATGTATGTAGTGTCACTAAACTGTACACTTAGAAATGGTTAAGACGGTAAATTGTATGTTATGTGTATTTTACCACAATAAAAGAAATTGAGGAAAAAATACTGTGTCCTTAAAAAAAAAAGAAAAGAAAAGAAACAATCTACTCATTATTCCTCTAAAGCAGCGGTTCTCAACCTGTGGGTCGCTGGGGGTCGAACGACCCTTTCACAGGGGTCGCCTAAGACCATCGGAAAACAAAAAGATATTTACATTACGATTCATAACAGCAAAATTAGTTATAGAGTAGCAACGAAAATAATTTTATGGTTGGGGGTCACCACAACATGAGGAACTGTATTAAGGGGTTGCAGCATTAGGAAGGTTGAAAACCGCTGCTCTAAAGAATGCTACCCAGAATTGGGGTTGACTAAGGTGAGACAGTACCACCAGTCACCCTTAAGATCATCTACAAAAACAGCTTTTAAAGAGCTGATAAATTCACACTACTATATAGTTTAAAACACACATGGACACACTCTCACACAGGATTAGGAGAGAAGAACCGAGTCTAGTAGTGGGTGGGACGGACGGACACACACACACACACACACACACACACACACACACTTCTTATATACACAAGACTGGTAATATTGGTTATCTACCCGGAAGTGGAGAGGGGAAATATGGGGAGCAGGGATGAGAAGATGTTCTGCTGAGTACCTTTACTATCTATTGAATTTTGAATCTTGTGAATGTAGTATTACCTATTCCTCTCACTAGCTCCAAGAAAAGATGTTATATTCAGTGCATGTAACAATTCCCTTATTTTGATTTTTTTAAAAAAGGAAGGAAGGAAAAAGAGGTTAGAAGCAGCCCATTGTCCATAGCACTGACCCTGCTGTACTGTAACTCCGGGTCTCAAGTCTGTCTTGCCCACACTGTAAGCAGCATGGGGTGCAGTTCTACCCCATTTGTTGCCATGTGGCCAGCGCCCAACACAACGCCAGGCATGTGGAGGCCTTAATAAATATTGGTTGTTGACCAAAAAGAGATGGAAAATGAAACAAGTGTTTATGAAGATACATTTCCCTTTCTCACCTTTCTCTGTCTATACCTCCTGAACTAGTAAAGTGAAATGATAACTCGATTTCAGGGTTCCATTTCTATCTTTAGACATGAAAAAGAAGTAATTTTTAACTTGGTTTCAGTTGGTACCAAATAAAACTGACAAGTTCCTCCTTTAACAATTCTACCACTTATTAAGATATAAGGGTGACCTGGCTAAAAACACCTGTCATCCTTTTTAGTATTCAATATTTAATGCTACTCAAATGCCTTTGGGGGCCATTAATGAACCATATTTTAGATGAACTTAAAATAGCTAAGGACAAAAAAGCCCTCTTTTGTTATATACTGGCAGGAAGAGCTGTCTGTGTCTCTTGGGCATCCATGCGTGGGTATAGAGCCTGAGCGGCCCCTGGGCCTGGGCACTGTACTTTGACCAAGTACAGTCTGAGACATACAACCGGGGCGCATCTGTGCACTGAATCTCTCCTCAGTGTTCCTTTAAATGATCCTTTGACCAAGTATGAGAGCCATCGTTAGAACTCTCAGTGAGTTTATTCCCAATTCTACAGTTGACCCAAATCAGGGGGCTCTTATGGTCCAAGGGCTCACACTTACTTGAAGGCATCTTTTAACAACAAGCTGGGTCTTCTCATCTTGTTTTGAGCGCGGGTGTACCATTGCAGGGAGGATCTCGAGCGATCGCTTCGCAGTTTCACACAGCGATAGTCCCCTGGCATTGCTGTGAAGAGAGGGGAAGAGGACAAGAGAGGACAGAGGGATGAGTTAGGTGGATGATGTTTTTAAACAGCCTTTATGTGCACCATCCATACTATGGAATACTCCTCAGTAATAAGGAAGAATGAACTACTGACACGTGCCACAACTTGGATAAATCTAGAAAGAATTCTGTGCCAAATACTGAAAGGTTTTGTATTCTATGATTACATTTACAGAAAATTCTTGAAATGACAAAATTATAGCAATGGAGATTAGCAGTTGTCAGGAGTTATATAGGGGGTGGTGGGGATGGTTATAAAAAGGCAACAAGAGGGATCCCTGTGGTGATGAAAATGTCCTGTCTTGCCTGTATCCATGTCAGTATCCCAATTGTGATACTGTACTATGGTTTGCAAGATGCTACCATTGGGGGAAACTGAGTAAAGATTACACGGGATCTTGCTATATTATTTCTCACACCGACATGTGAACCTACAATTATCTCAAAATAAAAAGTCCAACTTTTTTTTAAAGAGCCTTTATCTTTTAGAGATACATATGAAAATATTTACAGATAGAAGAGCAGAAATGAAATCTGCTTTAAAAAAGAATCAGTGGGCCGGCCGAATGGTGCATTGGTTAAGAACTGGCTTGGGACGCCAGAGGGCCCCGGTTCGGATCCCATCCTGCCCTCTATAGCTAAGATGCTGAACAACAGCTCGACCTGGAGCTGGGCTGCCATGAGTCACCGGCGATGGTGTAGGCTGCAGCCCCTGTGCCAGTGGGTTGCCATGGGCTACCGTGTGTAGCCAGCAGCCAGCAGCCAGCGTGAGCAGCCAGCAGCCACCATGAGTGGCCGTCCAGAAGCCGGTGACTGATCTGCCTCGCCTGGGAAGAGCGCAATGATGGTGCCAACTTGGGCCAGTGAAGCAACGTCCTCCACAACTAGACTGAAGAACAAAA